TCCTAATATATGTGGGAAGTATTGCCTAAAGCATACATTGGTGAGATATATTCAGCTGAATTGTAGTCCTTGAGGGCAATGGCCATGACTGTTCCCATCACCAGCCTCCAATTCTTAGTGCAATTATCAGCCTGTTAATAATTACTTTTGATAAATAAAGGGAAGAAGAGGAGAGAGGAATGTCTTTCTCCAGTTAGATTCTCTTTCTACTTATGTATCTCCTCCATATGCAAATTCTTAAATTAATGCTTTGTTTGCACTAATCTCACAGCAACCCTAAACAGTAGATTATTATCTCCATTTTACAAGTGAGGAAACTGAGGCTCAGAACAATTCAGTAACTGGACCAAGGTCACAGAGCCAGTGAGTGATTGAGTCAGGACTTGAACCAATGTCTAACTTTGTTCCCAACCTCATATTCTACATTATGCAAATGCAATGAAAGCACTTTCTATACTACAAATAATCCTATGGAAATATTTTTTTGTTTTTATTACTACAGGAACTTTGATAAATCAAATCCATTAAGCATCTTAGAATGTGGTACTACACTGGGTTTCCTGAAGAAGGAGACTTGATTACATTTTTAAAACAATGGCTCAGAGAAAGCCTTTCCTCAGGCTTCACAATCATTCCTCTAGGTACCAATGCCAACCTTTGCCCAAGCCCCCGCTTCCTACAGGAGCTTCAACTGCTCTGTGCATCTCATGGTTTCTAACCCTTCCATCTACTTGAGGATGTCCTCACACAGCCTCCTGTGTGAGGTATATCCTGAAGATATACCACAGCCTACTTAGGCAGCACCACCTTTGAACGCACAACCTCAAACATCTAAAAGCATTTTTTTAAATTTTCAAGTTTAGAGGAAAACTTAAAAAGAAACCAATAAAAAACATTTCTATCTTTTCCATATATGGAGAACCATCTCTTAAAAATCACAATCAAAAACAAGATTTATGGTATGCTTGAATAAACATTTTTAATATTTTGTTTAGCTTTGCTGGGATATAGCATTAGGTGTTTAAGAAAGTGGGAAAATTAATTTCACATTTCATTGTGAAAAAATAGGACTAAAATGTTTGCTGTCATCTAGTTCTAGTTACCTATGGACAGTTGATTTTGTGGCATCTCATCATTATTTCTCAAAATTCAGCCTCATTTCCTAGCTTCCTCCTTAGCATTTTTCCATGTCCTTTCCCCCATTTAGTGCTCCTTCTTGGTCCCTCATTAACCGCACATCTATTATGAGGGGAAACAGAGTTTGCCTTTTGATTATTTTAAGGTAGTTATTTTTAAGACACAAAAGACTCAGAAAGGACCTTTGACCTTCCCCCTTACCAGCCTGAAGGAACTCAGAAAAATCTTCTTAGAGGAAAGGAGCTGTTACTTGGCATAATACAAATTAAGCAAGAAAGACAGGGAACCTGCAAAGTCTGTTTGTTAGACTCCACTTCATGTCCCATTCTGTCTGGTGGCCATGCAACAACTTGTTAACCAAATGTTTGCCCTTCCTAGTCTACCTGTGAATTGCCTGCCTTTCATCTGAAGTCCCAGGCCCCTGCCTCCCTCTCCTTAGTCCAGAAGAGCATACAAACAGCCAATGTCTGATTTTTCCTCAGGCCCTATACTCTTGTGGAACCCCCGTATGTACCTACATAATATATTTGGATATTTTCTCCTGTTAATCTGTCTCATGTCAATTTAACTATTAGGCTAGCCAGAAAAAAAACTTAGAAAGGTAAAGTGAAAATTATTTTCCCTTCCCTATATTTTCGTGGTCCAGTTTGCTGCTGCCTAGAAGAGCATAATCTGTCTGCAATGAGAATGATTCCTTCTGTAGCCATTACTATTCGGAAGAAACCACACAGCAATACTCAAAATACATTTGTTTAATGAATTACATTTGTTTAATGAATTAATAAATTCTCCTGCCCACATTACTCATCTTAAATTGTCCAAAATAGTTTTTTTTAATCTTTCATGTAGTCCCATAGGGATTATACAGACTTAAAAAGCAGTAAAAATATATTACTTGAGACTGTGATTATCAACCAGTGTGTGCAAGAATTTTTAAAACATGTAATACCTAATTATTTACTCAGGAGCACTGACCTCTTTTCCCTTACATTGTCAAATAAAAAAAATGGCAGCAGCCAACAGAGTAATAGCCATCCATTGTGAATGAATCAGAATTATACCTATTTTCTTGTCAGATCCACAAAAAATATATAATTATTGGTGTGCTGCAGAATTTTAGTAATTAGTTTATGTGTGCCATGAGATGAAAAAGGTTGAAAATTGCTAGTTTAAGCAAACATAGAACCTAAATATAATTCATATTCTAACAATAGCATGTAGCAGATGGCTTACCAACAACAAAACTCACTTCTTCACGCCTTTTCATAATAAGAAACAATGAACAAATAATCCTTACAATTGCTTGTCATCAAAAAGGGGGAAAAAGAATCAAGGAAAGGGGGAAATCAATGCTTTTTATTGACTGACTCTTTGATTTCATGAGATTAAAGTGAGATGTGACCATCTAAAGCACTTTTTACATGTTGGAAATGGCTACTGAGAAGGCTGGAAAATGATACAGGGGACTACAGAAACTGGCAAGAAAAGAATGTTTTTTAATCTTAATTCTTTAAATCACTAGCAGTATGTGTCCAAGGTCTTACAAGGTATCCACCTCTGGCGTAATGAATGTTTCCGTGGCTCAGGTATCTGGGCACAACCTAGCTGAGCACCCTGTCTCGGGTCCTCGCTCTCACAAGGCTGCAATCAAGGTGTCCATCAGAGGTGTTCAAGCAAGAAATTTAATTTTAGAACAGAAAGCAATGGTCAGGCAATTAATTTGTGCATTTTTCAAAGCTCAAATGTATAGAGAAAAAAGTCATTATTTCTAAATGACTAATTTATTTTATTTATAAAGTTGAAAAGAGTATTAAGACTATTTTAAACAGATTTTCAGTACACAGTGGATTCTGAGTAAGTAACATCCATAAGAGAGCGGAGGCATAGATTTTTTCTAGACGATTATTACTCAAAATCATTTCAGCATGGCTTTAGACTCATGTAGGGAGGCAATGTGTCCATAGGAACTTAAAGCTTCATCCCCTCAGCATTCCCCTGTTAAAAACCTCTGGAGTGCCCCTCACTCACAGGATAAAAACCAAATACTTAGCCTATCCAGCCAGGCCCTACAGTGTTAGGCCTCACTCTAACCATTCCCTCCTCTTCAGTTTCCTCATTCTCCCAGCCTCCCTCACTAGATCTCCATGTTCCATTACCTGCTCCCCTTGACCACCTACCGAGCTCCTTCCCACCTCTGATCTTTGCAGAAGCACAAGCTGATCCCTCTCTCTTGGCCATTCTCCTCACCTGGCTACCTATTTCCCTGTTAGATTCACAATCATCCCTCTGAGCTTATCTCAAATATCTCTTCCTCAGAGATATGCTCAGACTGGATCAGGTTTCCCACAGCCTCTTATGATTGCTTTTTCCTTTTAGGGCATAATGTAGTTGATAATTATATATTTGTTTGATTGTTTGATTGCTACCTGTCTCCCCAACTGGCCCAAGCTTCCTGAGTGGAGGCTCTCTCCCTGTCTGAGCCATCACTCTCCCACGCTCACCCAGCACAGCCGGACCCTGACACCTGAGGAAGGTACTCTCATGCTCCTGGTCAGTTGCCTCGCACCACCCCAAACCCTTTCTAGATAATAAAGAGGAAGCAAGTGTGGGTAGCCATGAGTGAGATTTTTTTAAATTAGGTTCAGTTTTGAAACATACAGTTGTCTAGTGGGATGGCCTAAAAGCTCAAACAGTGAGAACTAATTTTCTGTGGAAAATCTCAGTTGCTTGTAGAATTTCTCCTACTAAAAAGATCACTCTTCTCTTTCCTCTCCTTCAAGACCAATGCTATTGGTCATTGCTCTTTCTGTGGAACCAGAGCCAGGAGTAAACAAACGCCGAGTTCCACCCACCAGGGCAAGGCATTTCAGTCCAGTTACTTAGTTCCCACTCTGGCTTTGCAGAAAGATGGGAGGCTGACTTTTGTTTTCATAAGAAAGTAAAACAACTTCAGTTGTGTTATCTGCTTATTTGAATTATCTTGGCCATTATCACAGATAATTATGACCTGTTAACACAGACTTTCCATTTTAAGATTTTGTAGAAATTATCCTTATCAGAAAGTGTGACTTATCAAAACCAAGCTATTAGAAGTCAACAATAGTGAACCATATCTTATTTAAGTTGAGACTATGAGTGATCTATAATTACTTTTTTAAGTTAGTTACTTGGCATTCATTGCTTTACTCATTCATTCATCAAGTATTTACCAATGGTCATCTTTGTGCCAGGCATTAGGATCGTGAGAGTCTCCTCAAAGGCTAAGAAGTCCACAGTATGGAGCAAAAATATCTTGCTTTACTCAAAGGAGATTCAAAGAAAGTAAGAAACACTTTCACATCAGAAGATAGAAATGATCTCCAAAAATTTTAGCTGTTATTTGAATAGCCAAAGTTATCAAAATGGACTTAGATGATGTGGCAACCATTATTCTTAGAGGCAAACAAAGCAGGCACAAAGGTCACCTTGTGTTCCCATAGAAACCTACCCATAGATACCTATAATGTCTCTGAAAGTCTGCAAAGTCTTCCCAAGGATCAGTTTAAGATAGGATGCATGCTCTTCTTTCTAGGATGATTTACACATGATTATAAGTTTTTTATCTGAGACTAAAAAATCATGTTATGTAGCTTTCAAAATTTCTGTATCCAAAAAAACAAATGACTCTCCAAAGGTATACTTTGAGCTTCCCATTTTTTTCAGAGGTCCCCAAGACCACCCACATGCTCAGTGACTCACTAGAAAGACAGGATTTATATGTATTATAAATCCTTATAATTTATAATTAATATAAATCTTATTTATATAATATAAATCCTTTTATATATATAAAATATATATATTTATATTTTTTTTACTCACAGCTATAGCTTATTACAGTGAAAGGATACTCAACAGGATCAGCAAGGAAGGAATACAGAGGTGAAGTCTGAACAAATCCATTTACAGGCTTCCCATTCTCTCTCCCTCTCATGAGTGGACACACCGGGTATGCCCCTTTCTCTACCAGCAAAAGCAAAACATGTACAATGTTTCTGCCCAAGGAGACTCAGAACCAAGCTTTTTATTGGGATTGGTTATGCAGCTACCCTCTGTCTGGCAATGGGCAAAATTTCAGACTCCCAGAATAAAGCAGGTGTTCACCATCGATTACAGTGCTTGCACAATCTAGGCACAGTGAATCATTTTTAACCATTAGAGGATGGAGAGAACATTCCAGAACCCAAGATCCCAGATGCCAGCCAAGGGCCAAACTTGCAAGTAGACCCTTCTAAAGATAGCAGTCTCGGACTTGTTATATTCTCTTCAGTACACAATTCTTTTTTTTTTTTTAATTTTTGTTGTTCAGGTACAGTTGTCTGCATTTTCCCACCTCTCTCCCCTGATCACACACCCACCTCCACCTTGGTTGTGTCCATGTGTCCTTTATAGCTGTTCCTGAAAACTCTTCCTCCCTTTATCCCCACTATCCTCTCCCCTCTCCCCTCTGGTTACTGTCAGGTTGTTCTTAATTTCAGTGACTCTGGTTATATTTTCCTTGCTTGTTTGTTTTGTTGATTAGGTTCCACTTATAGGTGAGATCATATGGTATTCGTCTTTCACTGCCTGGCTTATTTCATTTAGCATAATGCTCTCCAGTTCCATCCATGCTGTCCCAAAGGGTAGGAGTTACTTCTTTCTTTCTGCTGTGTAGTATTCCATTGTGTAAATGTACCACAGTTTTTTGATTCATTCATTTACTGATGGGCACTTAAGTTGCCTCCAGCACTTGCCTATTGTAAATTGTGCTGCTATGAACATTGGGGTGCACAGATTCTTTTGCATTGGTGTTTTAGGGCCCTTAGGGTATAATTCCAGCAGTGGAATTGCTGGGTCAAAAGGCAATTCCATTTTTAGTTTTCTGAAGAAATTCTGTACTATTTTCCACAGTAGCTGCACCAGTCTGCATTCCCACCAACAGTGCACTAGGATTCCCTTTTCTCCACAACCTCTCCAACACTTGTTGTTTATTGATTTGTTTATGATGGCCATTCTTACTGGTGTGAAGTGGTATCTCATTGTGGTTTTAATTTGCATTTCTCTGATGGCTAGTGATGTTGAGCATCTTTTCATGTGTCTCTGGGCCCTCTGTCCTTCTTGGAGAAGTGTCTGTTCAGGTCTTTTGCCCATTTTTTCATTGGGTGGTTTGTCTTCCTGGAGTGGAGTCGTGTGTGTTCTTTATATATTTTGGAGATTAAACCCTTGTCCGAGGTGTCATTGGCAAATATGTTTTTCCATATAGTTGGTTCTCTTTTCATTTTAATGATGTTTCCTTTAGCCGTGCAGAAGCTTTTTATTTTGATGAGGTCCCATTTGTTTATTCTTTCCTTTATGTCCCTTGCTCTAAGGGACATATCAGTAAAAATATTGCTGTGTAGAATGTCTGAGATTTTCCTGTGTATGTTCTCCTCTAGGCCTTTTATTGTGTCATGACTTATGTTTAAGTCTTTTATCCACCTTAAATTTATTTTTGGGTACACAGTGCTTTAAATCTTTTTTCAGATTATATGTTGAAAGAAATAGAAAATTCATGTTTATCTCTCTCTGTATACATGGCTAAAGAAAATGTGGTTAGTCTCAAGTTTTAGATATTATATTACTAGAATTATTACTAGGAATTATCATTTCAGATGAATGTTACTATTAATAATGTTGCTATCTACTATTAATTATTAGTGGCAATATTATTAATTTCTATGATACATTGTGCATACTTTGATATAATATTGATATTAACCCATTCAATGATTGTTAACCTTCTTTGAAACGCTTTAATATACTGGAATCATGAAAATCAAAGGAGATTCTTTTTTGGTTCCTTATTTTAGTTTTCTCCTAATCTGTTGCTTTCTTTAACAGGACAGACTTTCTGCAGCTTGAAGGAGCCAACGATGGATTTCAAGCGTGTGAAAGACTATTTCTCCTGGCTCTACTATCAATACCAAATCATTAGTTGCTGTGCTGTCTTGGAGCCTTGGGAGCAATCCATGTTCAATACCATCTTACTAACCATTTTCGCTATGGTGGTGTATACTGCCTACGTTTTTATTCCAATCCACATCCGCCTGGCTTGGGAATTTTTCTCCAAAATGTGTGGTTATCACAGTTCACTTTCTAATTGATCCTGTTTGCATTCTCCGAATTGGCATTCACATGTTTATGCTGCTTTTTTGTTCTAGCTGAATACTGTGTCCTTTTTCACTATCTGACCTAAAAAGCTCTCACTTCTCTATGCACCCTTATATCCTGCCTGAAATTTGAGATAGCTGTTTCTTTCGGTTCTTTTGTACACATTACATTGTGCATCAGACCATAGATAATACAATGGCCTTACCTCACATACCATATTTTCTCAACTTAAATAAATTTTCTTTGAATCAGGAAATTTCATATAAAATTTTTGTGGAAAGTAGGCTTATAAGAGACCTACCAGAATCATGTTTAAAATGCTCCCCTGATACCTATTCTATACTAAAGGATATATTTTTAAAAATTTGTTCATAGGCTACTGTCAAAAGTGTCATACCCTTGTTTACAATATAAAGATGTGAATAAATTATATGGGTCCCCTAAAGTATTGTTTTTTACTAAACTACTGATACCTAAAATTCTTTTACTTCAAGTGCAACAGAAGAGCCTGGAGGCAATTACCTCCTTTCAGACATGGTTCATGAATTGTTTCAAATGCCTCTAAATGCCTGGCTTTATAACAATTTAAAATCAACAATGTTGATTTTAGATAATCCAGTAAGTATTATACTACAAAATAATTTTAAGTATAGGAAACAAAAAAATATAATCAAAGTACATTCAGATGTGGTAACTCGTGATGTTGTCTTACCTTGCATGACACTGGGAGGGGAAAGAAAAAATAAATTGCTTTTTGTCTGTATTGTCACCCAGCAAAGGGGTAGCAGCCATTGGGCTACAGGAAGAAAAGCTAATAAATAGGCTGGAAGTAATATTCTAACAGCAGGAACTCAACAGCTCCAGTTAAATGTTTTGATATAGTGGCTCCTTTGTAGAGCAAAAATGAGATTTATTAAATTTCCTTCAAAGTGTTTATCTTAAAAACATTATAAGTTTTTAATTATGCTGCTGAATCATATGTGAATGCCAAAGATCAAGCATTGTAGTTTTTCTTTCTTCCCAATAAATATTAATGTTAATAATATTGGAGGGTAAATATGTAAATAGTTTTTGGACAATATTTGCACCTTTGTTTGTGTTATGAAAAAAGAATTTCCAAAAAGAGCTGGAGAGAAAGATGTTTGGCATGCCAAATTAACTTGCATGTTTGCCAAAAACAAAAAGTAAAAAAATACATGTTTTGAAGATAAATCAGATCGGAACATGTATTTATTGTTTTTGCAAAATAAAATTAGGTTTAATTTTATAAATAAAATGTCCACCTCCAGATTTGCTTTATTCCTCATATTATACTATCTAGGTGCTTATGTCCATATTTCTCCCCTAAATTATCATTTCTTACTAATCCAATGTGGCAATTAATCTTAAAATGGTAGGATACACCTAACACTTACCAAGGGTCTTTTCTGTAGTGAACACGTTTTACATGTTGAAGTAGGTATAACGTCTCCCAGTTTCAGGTAAGGAACCTGGACCTTGGAAAAGGTACATTTCTTGTTCAAGGTCTTTAGATACTACTGGCAAAGCAAGGAAGCAAACCCAGGTCAGGACCACCTGGGCCCTGAAATGTTTGTCACACAAAAGCCCATGGAACAAAAATGTGAGCAAATGAAAGCTGGTGGAATGGGAGTCACCAACATGGTAGAAAGTAGAACCCTATCAAATAAAAGGGGTAAAGAAAGGTATTAGGAGACAGCTGAGGTCAGAGAAACAGCTTTTGCTGCTTACCCAGTTCCTATGCTCACCATTTCTATGCTGTCCAGGCCCACATACCTATTTTGAAAGATTGTTTTTGCTTTTAAATATTTAACAGAGGATTCTCAGTGAAAGCATGAACTTGGATGCATTCCCAGTTCACAGTGATTCAACACCCTTATTACTACCTGGACCCCTGCTAAGTATTCTTGGAATTCAACCACAAAGATAATGCACTGACCTTCTTAAAATCCTCCTTCTATAAATAAGAATTAAAATAAATGTGAATAGACACAGCAAGCCTAATAAATGATATTGCAAACCACTGCCCCAGAATGTCACCTTAAAGGTAAGCATTTCCTCTAAGCAATCAAAATAATAAATACAGGGTATAAAAAATATAATCAAATATAGTTTGCTGGGGAGGGACAATCTGCAGAAGAGAAGACAGCTCTACCTGCCCTGCCTACTCTGTCGATTTTCTAGACTAGGCAGAAATGTTCTTTACCTTGACCATAGTTAGCCTAGATTAGAAACAGCTTTTATATGCTTTTCCTTTGCTTCTATTATCTGCATGCTTCAGAAATTATACAAAACTGAGAAAGAAGGAAGGAAGGAAGGAAGGAAGGGAGGGAAAGAAGGAGGGAGGAAGGGAAGGAGAGAGAGAGAGAGCCAAAGTTTCATGGTTTCAATGGGCTTGCAGTAACCTTTGTCACTCACTAAACCAAGTCAACAATTGCTTTTATCTACTTGTGTAACCAAATACACACACACACAACGCCAAGAAATAAGGCAGTTTGAACATCAAGATAACACTGGACAGTCTTTATTAAGTCATGTGTGCAAAAAGAAATCACAAGTCCATTTTCTACTTCTTTCTTCTTTTGTCACTAACTTTTGTCTTCCTCTCACTAGTAGAGTGTGTGCTCCTGGAAGGCAGGAAATTCAACCTTTTCTCTTAATCTCCAGTGTCCACCCCAGTCCCTGGTATGGAGCTTAGCAGATACACATCCTCAGGAACATAACAGAATGGCCAATCTCAGAATGGACAGTTTCCAGCTATTGACCAAAAGAGTTGTTCATTTATTTAACAAATTTATTAAAGTCAACTGTGTATTAATAGCGAGAGAAATGGAGAGATGGATAGATAAGTGATGAAGACAGCAGAGTAGAAACTAGGTAATAGGTATTCAGGTATTCACTGTAAAATTCTCTCTACTGTATGTTTGAAATTTTTTATTTAAAAAATGCCTACCATACACTATTCATTGAGCTTACCACTAGGAAACAAAAATGAACAAGCAGAAACAGAAAACTCCCTGAATTTATGGATCATACAACCCTATAGGCAAGATTACTCAAGAAAAAATAAGCAAACAAAATATTTGCGAACTGTGCTAAGATCTTATGAAACAAACAGCAAGAGTGCTGGAGAGAAAGCAACAGAGGGTTGGGGACAGTGGCACACTTTGGGGCTGGATTAGAGTAAAATGCAAATTTCTCTCAATGCAGGACTTGAAGCAGGACATCAGTGTGAGAGGGAGGTGATGTCACACTGCGAGGTGATGACATTGGTGACTATTGTGTGAGAGCAGATGGGACAGGGACCTGAGTCTCAGCAGGGAGACTTGATGCAGATGAGAGCTGAGCAAGGTGGCAACCTCGAAACAAGCTTACATGGTCTGATTTGATGCACATTTTGGGGACAGAAAAGTCTTAATGGTTGGATCAAAGTGGTAATTCCATTAAATGCACAAAATCTTTCTCTTTAAATATCTAACCCATTCAAAGGAAACATCTCCCTCACTTTAGGAGTTAATTCTAGAGCTGATTAGCTCTCCATAAGGAAGGATAGAACATTTTTGAGAGGTTGAATTAAACAAGCTTTATATATTTTGACTTTTTTCCAGCTTTTAAAGCTTCACCATATCTCATCAAGTTCTTATACTTCTGATTGGAAGGAAGGACTCCAATATTTCCCATGAAATAGAAGTTTATTCTCTAGGTACTTTCAATCATCAAAACTGACTAACCAAAATATCCATAGCACAGCTTCTCCTAGGGCTTACACTTTCCCAACATGCATTCAGATCTCAGAAAGTCTTTGAGGACAAACTTGAGAGTTTGGGTTCTTTTTGATTCATTCCCACACTATTATGCCAACAATAATAGAAGTAAGAGCACCAAGAAGATTTCATAGTGGATTAGCAAGACAATGCTGAACAATGTTTAATTTTACTTATTCCCTTAGAAATTATAAGGAAATAGGAGGCAGAAGAAGTTCCAAAATAAAATGATAGTGACTTTACTGTAGTAACAAAGCCTATTTCTGTAGCTTTTCTGTGAGCAGCAATAACATATTCCCTTGGCAATATTCACACTTCTAAGCCATATGAAATTCCGTATGAAATTTAAAATTCAAATTGCTCTTTTTTATTATACATTTTTGTTTCTCTCTAACAGAGGCATCACTTGATCTATATGTTTGATTGTGGGGGCAGGGGGTGACTGCAAAATAGAGGAGAGATCCCTATACCTCAGCCTCCCAGCCTCTGCTGGCACAGCCACACCCACAGAGGGCAGGTAAATTCCCTGGATGGCATTCAGTCCTGACCACTAGGACCAGTGACTGAGGGGAGACCCACGTCCCTTAGCTTGAATTCCCACTCAGTGATGAGACTGAAGAAAGGGGAGGAACCCCTACAAAGAGGAAGGGGAGAGAGGAAAACTGGGCGAGAGGAGGGAAGAGGGAAAATAGAAGAAAAAAACATTATCTTTTTGTTTTCTAAGTTTATACTGGAAAGGCCTCACTTCCAAGAAAATCACAATACTTCACTTCTGTCTTTATCCTTCAGAGAACTTCCCTGATCTCACACATTTTTTCCTAGCATGAGCCATATCTAAATTACATCTTGTTCATATTAATGTTTCACTTTCTTTTGTTAAAATAACTCACTTTGCCCAAGTTAAAAAAAAATCTTCTGAATAACCAGGCAACTGATTTTCACTCCATCCCCCCATGGCCTTTATGACTCCCCACCATGGCCTAGTTTATGAGGATCCCTCTGCCCCACACCTTCCCCAACCCCACTCCGTCACTATTTCTCGAGGCTCAATAACCTCATTGGAAAATTAGGGAGTGAAGTCTCTCCAGAGATTCTTCCAGTCAAAAAGTCTACAGTCTATGAAATTCTAGTGACTCAGCATTTCAGCTTCCCAAAGCTGTTCTGAGTTATTGATAGAAACCTGATGTTTCTCTGGCGTTCCACGGCCTTTGTGGCCCTAACACTGACCACCATTGCGTGGGAGAAAGGTCATACAGTCCATAAATAAAAACGAACAAGCCAACAAATACACAAAAGTCCCAAAAAGCAATCAACTGGTCCTTTGCCTGAGATTCAGGTGAGAAAAATCTAGTTCATTCAGTGTGTGGTGGGTTTAAGGGAGTGGCCTCCCTGGGGCATTCAGCTTGTATCTCAGTGGCCGTCCCAACTCCCTCCTCTGATTGTCCCACAGGCCTTTAACCTTTTCATGGCCCTCACCCTGCCCCCTCTTACATGCAGTGCAAGAAAAATTTACTGTCATTTTCTGCAAATTCAATTTTCACCACTGGATGGGAGGCACAAGGGATTGAGGGTGAGGAGGGGCAGCTCTGAGAAGAATCCCCAACAAGGGAACTAGTCCATGCCCTGATCTAGCCAACAGACAATGTATCCGAAAAATCAGTTG